TAGCAGGAAAAACAGCACAGTAGCAGGACTCAAACAAAGTACTCAGATGTGTATGTGGGAGTCCCAAATGAGGCTTAACTTGCTTCTGTATGAAACTTGCTCAAAACTGTACCATGTCCTTTAAGATACCTCTGTACATCATCGCCTTATCACACACATCTACCAGTGAAGATCTTTTTTCATCAGAAATCTCTAATGCGGGAACATTCAAAACCAGAACCATCAATCCTATGAAGCTACGTATACTAAGAACATTTCCTCACTAGCAGTTAGCAGCAGCAATGTGGTACTGACAGAATACTAAGCACTGGATCCCAACAGCCCCTTAAAACAGCACATCAGTAGAGAAATGAAATTTTCATTCATTAACACCTCCAACCCAAGGTATTAAATATATGTGTATTTCAAATTATGCATTTTCCATTCATTTGTATAGAACTCTAATCTTTGAACAGATGTTTTAATCTGCTAAGTGCCAAGCAGCAGTAACATCTCACAAAAGGATGTCAGGTTCTTAAAAGCGGTAGTTACAAGTCTTGAGACATTTTTAAAAACGCATGGACCTAGATCACAGAAATTTCAAAATATAAAACAGTCAAAAAGGCTAGACAAAAGGTTGTCTAAACTGATTCAATCAAGTAACACACCATGTTCTCTATGAAAGAAACAGTGTGACTTACCACTGTCAGAAACCTCCCTGGAAGCCCTTGGGAACCAAGACACAAATCAGGACAGAACATAACAGCAAAGGGGAGGAAAAATGATTGTATCACCTTTCTAACAGCTCTTGCTCTTCGTAACCTATAAATTTACAGTCCACGTTGGATAACTCAATTACAGCCACATAAAACATATGATCACAGAGACAAAAGTCATGAGCACAGCCAGGTCCAAGGGGTCAACCTGAAGTTCTTCCATTTGATGGTTACTTAGCTCTTCTGTACCTCATCTGGAAAGGCTAGTAACAGCACCCACCTCACAGGGTTATTCCAAAGATTACAGATACACCACTTGGGATCCCCATCCTATATCCCAGTGCCCGCACCTTCTCTAAGGCACAATCTGGGAAGCAGGAGGTGATGGCTGAAAGAGCTGGGTCCCTGCCACCCCCAGGAGAAAGCCAGACTGAGTTCTCAGCTTCTAGCTTTAGACTGGCTCTTAACCCTGTCCTGCCCAATGCTAGCATTTGGGGAGTAAAGCAACCAATAGAAGTTCTATCCGGTCATCTTTCAAATAAAACAAACAAGTAAATAAATTAAGATTATTATTCGGCCCTGGCACAATGGCTCAATGGTTATTCCTTACCTTGCAAACTCTGGGATCTTATATGGGCGCCAAATCTAATCCCAGCTGTTCCACTTCCCATCCAGCTTCTTGCTTACAGCCTTGGAAAGCAGTAGAGGATAGCTCAAAACCTTAGGACCCTGCACCCAGGAGGGAGACCCAGAAGAGGCTCCTAGCTCCTGGCTTTGGATTGGCTCAGCTCCAGCCACTGTGGCCATTTGGGGACTTAACCAACGTATGGAAGATCTGTCTCTCCTCACCGTAAATTTGGTCTGCCTTGCCAATAAAAATAAGTTAATCTTTTTCTAAAAGCAATATACATAAAGCTTGTAAGAGTAGTACCTGTTCATTATTATAGTAAATTTTATCAAAAAATTTTATTGAAAAGGCAGATCTACAGAGAGGAGATAGACAGAAAGATCTTCTATTCACTGGTTCATTCTAAGTGGTGACAACAACCAGAGCTTAGCAAATTTGAACTCAGGAACTTCTGTGTCTTCAATGCAGACACAGGGTTCCAAGGTTGGGCCATCTTCTACTGTTTTCCCAGGTCACAAGCAGGGAAGGAGTTATATAGAAAGTGGAGAAGTCAGTACACAAACCAGTGCCTATATGGGATCCTGGCAGATGCAAGAAAAGGATTTAGCCACTGAGCCATCATACTGACCCTGCACCCACATGAGAGACCCAGAAGCTCCGGGCTCCCGGCTCCTGACTTCACTTGGGGAGTGAGCCAGTGGATGGAAGATCCTTCTGTTTCTCTTCTCTGTAACCTGAGTTTTTTTTTTTAAAGATTTATTTTTTTTTTCCCATTGGAAAGGCGGATATACAGAGAGGAGAGACAGAGAGGAAGATCTTCCGTCCGATGAGCGCAACGGCCGATGCTATGCCGATCAGAAGCCAGGAGCCTCTTCCAGGTCTCCCACGAGGGTGCAGGGTGCCAAAGCTTTGGGCTGTCCTCGACTGCTTTCCCAGGCCACAAGCGGGGAGCTGGAGCTGGAAGGGAAGTGGGGCTGCCGGGATTAGAACTGGCGCCCATATGGGATCCCGGAGTGTGCAAGGTGAGGACCTTAACCACTTACGCCACGCGCCAGGCCCATTAACCTGCCTTTTTAATAAAAAAAATCTTGAAAAAAAAAAAGCAATTCTACAAATCTACCAAGTAAATGGCAAAGAAAATGACAGCCATCTAGCTAACTTATCTCAGAAAATAGAAATTCCCAGTGCTGCAAGATCTGTTTACAGCAATAAACAGGATCTGCCCACTATTAGGAACCTATTGTGGATTACTTTTTTCAAGTCCAGACAGTGGTTTAGCCATTTTTTTTTTAATCATTTGAAACCTTTTGGAGGAGGCCAATTTAATTTAGAATATGTCAACTTGAAAAATGCTTCAGATTATTTCCAGAACTATCCTACTACATAACACGCTCTAATAACTTTAAATCCATGGGCATCATTAATGAAAGCAAGACTATTTTTATTAAATCATCCAGAAAAAAAAATTTTAAGCTATTTTTGAGAAATTTAGAAAAAGTAACTTAACAAAAGTTTTTAACAACTTATAATTGTCTAAAAAATTTTCAATTCCAGGGCCCAGCACAGTGGCGCAAGTGGTTAAAGGTCCTCGCCTTGCACGCCCGGGATCCCATATGGGTGCCGGTTCTAATCCCGGCAGCCCCGCTTCCCTTCCAGCTCCCTGCTTGTGGCCCAGGAAAGCAGTCGAGGATGGCCCAAAGCTTTGGGAACCTGCACCCGCATGGGAGACCCGGAAGAGGCTCCTGGCTTCGGATTGGCATAGCATCAGCTGTTGATACTCACTTGGGGAGTGAGTCATCAGACGGAAGATCTTCCTCTCTGTCTCTCCTTTCTGTATATCTGCCTTTCCAATAAATTCCAATAAAAATAAAAAAATAAATCTTTAAAAAAGAAAAAAAAAAAAGATTTTCAATTCCAATACTCTATTTACCCAAAATGGCAGGAACTCTTTTTAATTTTAAAAATTAACATTTTCCTCAGTGATTCAATGCAGCAGGAGTTGGTTATTTTAACATAAAAATACGAAACAAAGTTAAAATCTATGTGATATTGTCAAGAGACTAACAAGCAACCAAAATCAGGCTTTTCATTAAACCCACAAAAGCTTCGGGAGAGGCCCTATTACTTAGAATGTGTGGAAGGTACCTGTCTCAGTTTTTTCAGGTGACAGCGTTTCTGCCCTACAATCCATGGTTTCCAAAATCTCCATTCAAGATGCTGTATATGTATACCCAGTTTCTGAAGCCTACTGCAATTCTGTGGTTACCACTCATTCTTCCCCAAAGCCCAATTATCTCTGTCCATTTTCAATTTTATTAGGTCACCTTGAAATTCTCTCCTCTGAAACGCATTTGGAGGTTTGTGTCAATGCATGTGTGTTTCTTAACCCAGGGAAGCTTACGTGGGATCTTCCTCCAACTTCGGTGACCCTGTCTCAAACCCAGACAACAGCGAGCAATTCTGCTCTGTGCCACAGCTATCCAGCAGAGCCTTGATCACAAAGCTTCATCACTGAGCCCCGTCCCTCATGGCTGCAAAACTTCTGCTGCCACTAGCCCGTGGTAGAATCGGCTCAGAAGCCCCACACACCCTGACCACTGCAGCCAGCTGGTCATCCCAGAGCGTGCAAACCCCTCTGCTCAACCAGGGCTGAGCTTCTGCAAGGCAGGGCTGCAGCGTCAGGAAACTTGAGTTCCGAGCTTCATCCCTTGACCCAAATCATCGCTGCCAGGATATGCGGCGGTAATGCGGTGGTTTTCCTGGGAGTCTCCGGGCCCTTTAACTGACACGGACTGACCCCATCCCCGAGTCTCTTCGCACAGGCGCGTTTCGGCGGTAATAAGGCTCAACAGCCCCAAAATGAGTTGTTCCAATTTTACCTCCTCTCACCTCAGGCTCAGTACTGCTTGCCCTCACAAGGACATTTTCCCATATCAACATTGGGAGGAAGAAAAAGCACGCCTTGGGCTCCAGTTATCACACGCTGGGCAAGCCCGAGAACAGTAAGCTGCTTTAAGATCTTTCTAGCTAAGCCCTGAGAGGTTAATCTGACATCGGAACCACGGCCCTCTAAAGTTACTGGTTTCCAAGCCCAACGAACAGGCTGGGAACAGCTACATTTATACGCAGGGAAATTGCAAGGCTGGACCGACCAAACAGGCGTCTGATAACCAAAGGACCCTTGGCCCAGGTGAGGAGAGGGAAAACCAGATAACAAAAGGGATGCGGGTATCAGAGGAAGGGAAGGGGGGAGGACCCCGAGAGCCACCCGTGTGAGCAAAACCGAGGGGCTGGGAAGTCCCGGGCTCGGCGACACTCGCCCCCAAGCCTGCCTCAGCCTTCCTGTCCCCCCTTGGGAGCATCAGGCCGGGCCCCCCACCCCGACCCCAACACACACACACACACGGCGACCAGGCTGGGGTCCCGACACCCAGAGCCCAGCAGGCTCAAGCCCTGAGCCCCGCCGGCCGGAGCTGAGGGACAGAATCCCGGGGGGCAGGAGATGCGGCCTCGCCACAAGCTCGGAGGCCCCTGGAGAGAAATCAGACGCCAAACAGCGGGCCGCTTCCCAAGCCGGTGCAGGGCCTGAAAGGCAAGAGGGCTGCGGAGCCAGGCTGAAAGCGGCTCGGGGCTCGGCCGGGGCCTTCCCCGCCACCCGCGGCGACGCCCGTGTTTACCTGAAAGTCTCTGTCCTCGTTGAAGCGGGAGAAGCGGTCCGCCATTTTGCCGCCTTCACTGCTCTCAGGACGACGCTCTCCGGTTCGCTCGCCCCAGCGACACCCGCCCCCTCCCCGGCTCCCCGCCTCCTCCCACGCCCCCCGGGCGCGCGCAGCCGGCGGAGCCAGACGGAGGGAGGGCGCGTCCTGGCGGAAGCGCTGTCTGCGCAGGCGCCGCCCGGCCCCCGAGGGCGGAGCCTCCCCGGGTGCCCGGCTCCGCGGACGGCCCACTGCGACCCCGCCCCCACCCCTGCGTGAGCGCGTGCGCACTCGGGGCCGGGCCAGGCCAACGCTTCCGGGAAGGCGTGAGGTGGGGGGCCTGGTATGGCTGGGGGGTCTCCCTGTCTGCTCTCCTCCCGGTGTTCAGTGTTCACCGTTGCGTCTCGATAAACATTAAAGTTCGTTCTCTTTTCCTCAAGTAGCAGCCTAACGCGGCGGTTCACCCTAAGCATTAAATGGTTAAGGAGATTAGAATACCTTCTTGCTTAGGACTTAAGGTCCTGTGGAGGGATGACAGATAACGAATAAAATAGGTCATGGTTTAAATTATTAATTAAATTTTTAAAGCTGTCTACAGTAGTGAGAAATCCCACCTCTTTTTTTTTAACTGAGTTAAGATTTATTTTTAAAGGGTAAATAAAGCTTTGTACATCCTTTTAAAAAATGACAATTCAGAAGTCTTAGAATTAAACAATGAATGTTCAATATCATAAAGCTGTGTGTAACAGTAGTTGAACTAGTGGTAACATTTTACCCTTGTAAAAATGTCATAGAATGCAAATCGTAACTTGGATCCTTCATGATTCAAGTGTTTTGCACAAAAAAGGCTTATCAGTTTTGTGATAGAAATCCCTCCAGATCCTCAAGTCCTCCATACTGCCATGCATCAGCTCACACGGTGGGGTAGCTGGCTGGTGAGGCAGTCCCGCAGTGGTTGTCTTTGTCTTTGATCATTTTCACGTAGCCATCGATGCCCCATTCTGGACCCCAGCTGTTCTTCACAAGCCAGTATTTAGTGATGTTTGGATGTGTTCCTTCAAAGCCATAGGCAACCACCAAAACACTGTGATCAGGTTCCTTGCTGTTGCATTCTTTGTCGTAGTAGATGCCCGATCTGTAGAACTGGAAGGATGGGTGGCCTGCATTAATGATAGCAGCAGAGATGGACCCCACGGTGGCCACAGCTTTCAAGAAAGCCTTCTCATGCTGTGGAATGTCCAAGCCCGTGTCTTTGGCTGCAGAGCATTTGGGCCTGTACTTACATGTTTCGTGGAGAGCTTGATACGGGTAGGATTCCTGAGTCCAGGCCTCCGTTCTCTTTCACACACTCAAAGACATTGTCCATGAGGTCACTGTTACAGCCCATATTGCCCTGGGATTTAGAACAGTCCACAGAATTCTGCTCACTCAGGGACACCAGTTTGCCAGTTCCTGAGAAAGGGTACCAGTTGCACTGAATGCCCAACAGGAACCACACTGACCCTGATTCTTCATGGGAATCACATAGCCTTTCTCGCACCAATCCAAAGATGTAGGGGTCTGAAGCATCAGAGGTTCGTGAAACATTTTCCCCTGCCTGTGTTTCTGATGTTGATAGCCATTCATCGCTTGTCTGAATTCATTGGTCATGTCGCCATAGGCATTCATGGCCATGGTGAAGCCATGCTTGCCTTGGCTGTATTTCCCATTGTGAATGTCAATCATCTTCTTGTTCTTCTCCCACACAGCTCTCCTCCATCCTTCTTCATTCAAGCCATAGAGTCTCTTGCGTGTTGCTTTCCTCTGGTACCACTGTGTATCTAAATTCTGATCAAAGTTTGGAATAGCGAAGGCTAGTCCCCAGCAAAGGGCAACCAGGAGAAATAAAGGATTCATGGTTCAAAAACCTGGTGGTGGGCGCAGGCACACTCCGCACCCACTTGGCACCCTGGAGGTCACTGCAAGGCCGAGGATCTCGATTCCCACCTCTAAAGTGAGTTAGTGATTCGCAGCCTTGGATGGAGCGAGCAGCTTTTTTGAGGAATCCTTGGAGAGAGAACGATCCAACACAAGCAAAGCTCCCTGGGCGCCAGGACCCTTTTTAAAAAATTAGGAAATTGAGTTTACTACAGCCTGAAACTGGAAGCTTTACTCTGCTGCAGCTTGGCTCCGCCCTGAATTTACTTATCTTTACTGCTCCTATCTCTAGCTGACTTTGTGGATCAAAAATCAAGATTTTTTTTTTCTGTCCATGGCCTTCCTGAGGGCCTCACCCGGCATTCCAGGACTCTCAGCCAAAATACATAAAGCACAGAGGACGGGTGGCCAAGACTACGCTGCTGGCCATGTGGTTGCAGAAATCAGACAATGGGAAATGGTGGTCTAAGCTGTATGCTGAGGAGGTCACAGGGGCTTCCAGTCCTGGGAAGGAATATGGCCTCCATTCCCTTTATGCCAACTCACTCTACCTGTCCCCCAGCCTGACCCCCAGATCTCTAAGGACAGGGAGGTAAACACCCAGAATTGAAATGCTGGTAAGGAAACGTTAGCGTAAAGTAGCAGGTTGAATCTTATACTTAACACATAACCATCTTTACCTCCTCTCCCCACCAAGATGGCCTTAAAATGGTGGTAAAGGGGCTCAGCACAATGGTTCAGCTGCCTAATCCTCTCCCTGTAAATTCCAGGATCCCGGCACAGCGCGATAGCATAGTGGTTAAGGCCCTCGCCTTGAATGCACCAGGATCACATATGGGTGCCGGTTCTAATCCCAGCAGCCCCCCTTCCCATCCAGCTCTCTGCTTGTTGCCTGGGAAAGCAGTTGAGAACAGCCCAAGACTTTGGGACTATACACCCATGTGGGAGACCAGGAGAAGTCTCCTGGCTTCTGATTGGCTCAGATCCTGCCATTGCAGCCGCTTGGGGAGTGAGCCATCAGACGGAGGATCTTCCTCTATGTCTCTCCTCTCTGTACATCCACCTTTCCGATACAAATAAATAAATATTTTTTTAAAAGATTTATTTTTATTATTTTTTCATTGGAAAGGCGGATATACAGAGAGAGGAGAGATAGAGAGGAAGATCTTCCCTCCGATGATTCACTCCCCAAGTGAGTGCAACGGGCCGATGCTATGCCGATCCGAAGCCAGGAGCCTCTTCCGGGTCTCCCACGTGGGTGCAGGTTCCCAAAGCTTTGGGTCGTCCTCGACTGCTTTCCCAGGCCACAGGCAGGGAGCTGGAAGGGAAGCGGGGCTGCCGGGATTAGAACCGGTGCCCATATGGGATCCTGGGTGTGCAAGGTGAGGACCTTAACCACTTGCGCCACTGTGCCAGGCCCTAAAAATTTTTTTATTAAATGCTCTATTGGCTGGTGTGGTGGCTCAACAGGTTAATCCTCTACCCTGTATTGCTGGCATCCCGTATGGGTGCCAGTTTATATCCCAGCTGCTCTACTTCCCAACCAGTTCCCTGCTTATAGCTTGGAAAAGGTGGCCCAAAGTCTTGGGACTCTGCAACTATGTGAGACACCTGGAAGAAACTCCTGGTTCCTGGCTTCAAATCAGGTTGCTGCAGCCATTGCAGCCATTTGGGAAATGAACCAGCAGATGGAAGATTAATCTCTCTGTCTCTCCTTCTGTATAAGTCTGCCTTTCCAATAAAAAAATAAAGAAATCTTAAAGAGAGAGAAATGAGTTGGATTCTTCTTAAGGATCAGGCAGGTCATATTAGACCACCGTTGCACTCTGGCCTTCCCTGTCATTCAGACACGGAAGATCCCTTTTCACTGGCTCACCTCCCAGGCCGGTCCTTTCTCTTTGGTCACATTAGCCTCCTGGCTGTACTTTGAGCCCATCAGGCTTGCCCCTGTCGCAGCCTGCCCCACCTGCAGAATTAGGTATTTCCTGTGCTCAGAATTTTTTTTCCAGACATTAATGGAGAGGAAGTTGGGGGTAATGAAATCAAGGCCTGTCTCTGGGGGACACAAGGGTACAAAGCCGGGCAGGAGGCTTCTGTCGGTCGGCCACCTGAGGGCTTGTCCTGGTCCTGTTCATGTTCTTTCCTGCTGCTTTTCCAGAGAGAGAGAGGGCAAAAGAACTCACACCTCCATCTTGAGCTTCCTCAAATTATACCAGCAATTCTTTGAAATATGTCACTGTCATGACAATGGTTTTGTGAAAGGGCACCTGGAGTTAGGCAGGTTGAGTCACACAAAGGCAAGGTCACGCGGGCAGCTGAAGAGCTACAACAGAGCCCCGTGCCCGTGCCATGGCACCTCTGCTGCCCCGAAACTGCCATGAGCTGCCCGAGTCGCACACCGCTGCATCGATATGCAGTTTTTACGTGACACAAACAGCTGGTAGCATAATCATCCTCCTTGGGCAGATAGACAGCCAAGGCTCAGAGAGGTCAAATCACTTGTTTATGGTCACACAGCTAACCAGAACCAAACCTGACCTGCCCTCACTGCAAACCCAGAGGCAAGGGGAGAGGTGTAAGCGGGTGCCCTGAGACGGAAGGGATGCCCTACAAGGAAAGAATGGTCTTCCAAAGGGAAAAGAACAAAATAAAATCAGGGGCTGGTACTTGGATGTGCTATGCCAGATTTTGCAATCTCCAGAAAAATCATCAAGAGTCTGAAGTCAATGCAAACGCAAAAAGGTGGTTTATTCAGAACTAACCGAGGCTCCCAGTCCAGCAGGACGGGGGAGCAGTAGCAGCCACCCCAACAGTGGCCACTGCCGCCACCAAGGTGGCCAAGGCAGGAAAATCTGCAACAGCAGGGGCAGAAGAGGGTCCAAAAAAAAGAGTGTGAGGTTCAACAGCACAGGGTTCTTACACATTTCCGGCCAATTCCGTACAATTATACAGTCATGATTGGTCAGTTAACTTCCAAGAAGAGCAAATTGGCAGGCTTCTGTTGGTGGGTTTGAAGCGAGCAACTTCCAAAAAGTACAAACTGATGAGCTCTAGGGCAGTGAATCTTTTTTTTTTTTTTTTAAAGATTTATTTTTATTATTTTTTCATTGGAAAGGCGGATATACAGAGAGAGGAGAGACAGAGAGGAAGATCTTCCGTCCGATGATTCACTCCCCAAGTG